ACAAACGAAAATTTGGGGGGAATTTGAAAAATTCAAAAAAAAAAGATATGAAATTTTGGGGAGAATTGAAGATAATATGCCGATAGGAAAACGGAGATCCGAACGGATTTTTTGGTGAATTTTCGGAGGTTACAAAAAGGACAAAAAGGTGTAAACATGACAAAAAACAATGATGAAATCTTCTAAGAAATGCACTTTTAGGTGTAATGAGAGCGGGTGTACGTTGGTGGAGGTGGTGGTGGTTGTGCACAAGAAGAGGAGGAAGAGGAAGAAGTAGAAGTAGTAGTAGTTGTGTTGTGATGATTGTGCAGATATTGTGCAGATGGATGGTGGTGTTGTGCTTCCCAAACTGAAAAGAAAACAAGTTTCTGCAATTTTCTTCTTCTTCTAGTGAACCCGTGTTTGGCTGGTAAAGTGTGAGGGGGAGGGGAACGACGTTTTTTTTTTCGATTTGAAAGACACTTTTGGTGTTATTAAAGGGGCTGGGCAAATATTATATATCACATTTTGGTGTCGGGCATCACAGAATAATTTTTTTTGACGGGGGAATACTCGTTTTATAACGAAAAGTGATTGGAAAGTTTCGAAAAAAAATTAATTTTTTCGCGAAAATGCGCTCTAGTGCACTTCTTTTTTTGCGCGCAAATTTGAATATTTTCCAACCATTTTTCGATAAATTTCTAAAAATTAAAATCTAAGTTAAGTGTTAAGTGTCACATACACAAAAAGATCATCATCACAAAATGCAGAAAAGTGTGAATGTTGTGTTGCAACGTGGAATAAAGAAAGAGAGAGAAAAGAGAGTAAAAGGTGATGGGGCGGAAATTCAAATATATAATAATTACAACAACATACAAAAAGGAGGCCGGTGTGTTTTTTTCTGATTTTTTGCTCTAACCATTCACATCAGCCATTTTGTTTCGTGCGTATTCTATGCGAAGACCGCCACGATCGTTCGCCGAAACCTGGAATCCTTGGAGGGACATCATCGCCTGCGTCGCTTTCTGAAGGTCCGAATATTCAACAAACGCAACACACGACCCATTTTTATTGTGAAGACGAAGACGAGTGAAACCGGAGAACGCTTTGAACACGCCACGTAGCTGATCCTCGTTCACTTCGGCCGATAGATTGGCGACGAAAAGGGTGGAACACGCAGAAGTGGAGGCTTGCGATTGTTGCTGTTGCTGTTGGTGTTGGACGCCGAGACTGGCTGCAAAATTTGGTTGGCTCTAAGAAAATTCACTTTCACGAATATTCAGAAACTGTGGAGTTGTGGATCGTAGGGAGGCCTTTAATAGAATGGCATGGAAGAATTTGGATTTTCGAAAAAAATTTGTATAGTTTGGGTTTGAAATTTGAACCACATATGAGAAATATTTTTCAAATTTTGACCGGAGAATTATTCAAAAAACTACCGGAACAATCGGTAATTTTCGAAAGTTCAAAAAAAATTTGAATCGAGAATCTGAGAAACTGCGCTCCATCGCAAACACTCTGAGATTTTTCGCTTTTGTTTACATGATATTTCGAGCATTTGAAATTGATTTTTTCTGTTTTCTAGTTTGAAGCTCGGGTACCAAATTTGACCTTGGTTTAAAAAAATCAAACCTAAATTCTAAGCAATTGCGCTCCATCGCAACCGCTCAAAATAGTAGGAGAGAAACGTCTTTTAATGGTTTTTTTTCTTTTTTTGCTGCGAAATTCGCCGAGACCTTCTCTACAAAAAAAGGTTCAAATATAAATTCTGAGCAAGCGCGCTCTATTGCAAAACGCTGAAAATAGCCGTAAACGTTCTCTCTGCTTTCAATTTTTTTTTCAATCCATGCCCTTCTATTAAAGGTTTGTCTCTCAAAACAAAAAGAAATGGAAATAAAAATGGAAAGATAGGAAATTGATGTGTGTGTATATGCATGAAATAAAAAGTGTATTGTGTGGCTGTGAAAGTGATTGAAAAAGGGTGATTGAAAGAGTGTAAATAGATAGGCCAACAACGACTAGTGCTGTGCTCTGTTAAAAATCATTGGGGATTACTGTAGCTTTCTTAAAGGGGTTACAGTAGTAAAATGATGAAAAAAAAATCAAAAAAATCGTTTGTTCCTACCTGCTGCCGCCGCTGCTGCCGGATGTAACTGTGCAGCATACAACGATTGCTGCTGAAATTGCTGCAGAGAAGCCGGCATATAGGCTGCCTGAAGTGCCTGTGCAGCATGTAAATGTGGAAGTGAAAGAGCCAATAGCTGATGCTCATTGAGGATGGCGGCTGCCTGAGGATCCAGCAGAAGATCCGATGGTTGCATTGGTGCCAAGAATTGTGGTACACCGGCGGCGGAGAGTGCAGACGGCTGGGGTGGTGGTGATTGTTTCGGTCGGGCGACTTTTGTGTTCGATTTGGCGAGCTCGAGTCGAAGGACTTGTGCGCATTCCGGATCGAATCGAACGCCTGGAATCACGTGGAGTTTTTTTTTGTTTTTTTTTGGATCGTCCAGAATTTTTTGGTGGGAATTTGAAAAACAGTGGGCTCTAATCAAGATGTTTTTCAGAAATTTGGAAGTGTAGTGGCGGTGGGAATTTCTAGAATTCAAGATAAATTGGGATTCAGGAGTAATAATAATAACAATGCCGTGGGAGAAAAAGCATACTGTGAAAAAAGTGATTGAATTTCGGCAAAAAATATATGGGTGAGAGGTGGAAAATTCTAAGGAGATCAGGCTAAAGTGAAATTTGGTGAGAAACGGATAAAACCTCTAACTGAGCTGCACCAGAAAAATCCAGAATTACGTGGTAGATCAAAAAAATGTGCTGGCCGAAGATCCGACAACTTGACGACCTCGATATCTCACCACGAAAACTACCGTATAAAATTAATTGCTACCGTAAGATTCATCGATTTTTATCAGTTGCCATCGATTTTCAGCGATTTTTCTAGCTCTTTCTCAGAAAAAAAAAATAATATTTCGCCGAAAATCGATTGAAATTGATGAAATTTGATAAATAAACAAGTTTTTCTAAATTTCTTACGGTAGTAATAAACTTATACGGTAGTTTATCGTGGTGAGATATCGCGGCCGTCCAGTTGTCGGATCTTCGGCCAGCACTTGTTTTTACACTGTTGCCATAATAAAATGGGTATGGAAAATATTTAGGAAAAAAAATCTACAGTAACCTCATCACCGTAAACTTGGCATCCACGCTACAGTAATCTTACTCAACCTACAGTTGATCGGAAAAAAAACTACAGTAGTCTTACTCCGAGCAAAACAAAAAGCTCAACTCTCCCTTACCTTGCAACAACTTCTTCGCATCCTGTGCATCCTGTTGTGTCAAAAACGTCACAAACCCGACGGGCGACGTGGGTTTCCCATTCTTCGATGTCATCTTCAAAAGGGCTCCCTCATATCCACGACATCCACGGAACAAAAGATACAACTCCCGTGGTTTCGCATCCATCGGAAGACCCGAGACGAACAACGTACGGACCTGTGATGGATTCGTTGCCTCCGACGAGACCGAATTCAACGATTCCATCGAAACGGCCGACGCCAGATTCGGCTTCGGGCCGTCCATTTTACGTTTACGGCTGATTTCAATCGTTATGGCTGCAAAAATTGGAAAATTCTGGAAGGGAATTTTGAAGCAAAAAACGAAAAAAAAATAGAAGAAGCGTCAAACGAATCGGAAGAGGGGAATATACAGAATGTGTAATGTGGAAGACAGGAAATATAGAGGAGGTGCTAAGACATGAATACGAGAATCATCATCATCGATGGGATGGAATGGGATGCTAAAAAAGATGTCGAATGTTGTGTGTGTATGCGTCGGGAATAAGTAGATGGAGGACACAAATTGAGCGGAAGAAGGCGAAGAAGAAGACGTCGAAGAGGGAAAAGAGGCGAAGAAGGGGTGTCCCTAGCAACCAAGGAGGCTGTGTGCCAAAGAGAGAGAGCCGGAAGAGAAAGAAGGAAACGGAATGATGAGATGTGACATGACATATACCTAGATTTTAGACCAGACTTATTGGCTTTTAGAAAGATGTAATTAATCATTCGGCGGGGACCTTTAGCAAAGCTTTTAGGGTAGATCAAAAGGTTTCTGTGGGGGTCGGTGCGTAAGGAACGGAGATTATGGAAAATTTACAAAAAAATTGCAGTGGAGGACAGGTAGCCGCTTCTTTCTTGCGGCGCCGCGCTTGTCTACGCCCTCAACACGTATTCCCCTGAGTGCGCGTGTGGCGCAGCTGGTATGCGTTTTGCTTTTGAGGAGACTACCCCCGGGTTCAATCCCTCAAGGGGTCAAAACCTTTTTGCATTATTTCCTGTTGTCAAGGAAGACATATACTTCTAAACTTTTCACTTTTTCACTCAAATTAACTCATTAGTGTTCAAAAGTAGGCCTAATCTGTACAAATCTGTTCCTCTTCCGTTCCATTTTTTCTTCTCACCGTCCAAACACAAACAAACAAGAGGAAATGTAAAGGCAAGAATGGAGAGAGGGGGAACAAGACCACCCCAAAAGGAAATGAAGGAGAAAAAAAAAACAATTGGGCGGTGGTGGTAGTGGTAGTGGATACTAATGAATAAGAGGGGCAAAAAAAGAAGGAGAAGAAAAAAGGAATGAGGAGGGGAGGAGGGACTGATAAGAAGAAGAAAAAGAAGAAGACGTCGACGGCAAATTGATGAGAATATGGTGGTGGAGAGCGGGGAGGGAACATTTGACAAGAAGATAATGATAATGGGAAAATTGGAAGAAGGGATGAGAAACGTTAAAATGCCACCTGGGGGACAAAATGACCTTCGTATGGGAAAAACGAAGAAGTGAGAGAAAAGTGAAAAACGAGAAGCCGCCTTTCCCTTTTACCTCCCTTTTAACTTCCACTTCTTCGTTTCTTCAACATGTTCGCCGCAAAAATTAATTGGTAGCTTTTCTTTTCTCACTCTATTTTCAGTTCCGTTTTTCTCAAATAACGGAAGAGAAAAAATAAAAGAAAAAAAAAAACGATTTGCCACCTGGCGGGATTGAACCCGCGATATGAAATTCAAAAACAGTGGCGTTAACCACTACGCCATGAGGTAGCTAATTCGGGAATGGAGAGAGGGCCTACAGGTGAGAGGGGGTTTTCATTTTTCGCGGGGAACAATAGGAGAGGTCAGATCGAAAAACTGGCCGAATTCAAATAGAAGTCATCGGGGGAAAAGAAATAATAGGCAAAGAAAGAAAAAAGATAGTAAAGGAATATGAAAAAATGGAGGAAAAAACTGATAGTCTTACTGCTAATCTGTATCTTTTTGACCTACCACCACTCGAAAAAAAATTCAAAAAACCATAACTAAAATTGCAAACACGAAAAAACTCTATATTTACCTTTCCCCGAATAAAAAACTACTTATTACCCCCGGTGTGGCCTGGCCGCGTGGATAAAAAAATTAGGCCATCGCCGAGAGGGAGCACACGGAGAGCTCAGGAGGTGGCAAATGTCATAAATAGAGAAAGAGAGAGGGAGAGAGAAAAAGAGAGAGAGAATTGCATTTCAAGCAGAGCATCCTTTTTTTGCTGCAGAAATTTGAGTATTCACAAAAAAGTAAAAAGGTTGTTTCTAAAAAATTGTTATCTCTGAAAAAGTTTGTTTTAGAAAAAAAGAAAGTGTGAAATATTTGATAACGATTTCTCTAAATATTTTTCCGGCTGATAAGTAATATTGGTTTTGCACTTTATTGATTTTTTTTGTCTATTTTCATTCTCTCATAATTATTCAGCAGCACAAAGAAAACGAGAAAGTGTATAAATTTAATTGAATTGGCTCGTTGAATTTCAAGTGGTGAGTGTCTTTAGAAAAGTTAATTGGATTTTCGAAAAAAAAGGAAATAATTATTAATTTTAAGATAAAGAACATTTAAAACGCAATATTTCAGTTTTTGCAAGAAATCGAATTTCGAAAATTCTTTGAAAATTCAATTTTTAAAAAAGAATTAAAAAAAAGATAATATTCAAAATTGTGCGTAAAAATTTAGTTTTTAAAATGTTTCAATAGAGCAAACTTGCATTTCGAATTTTGAAAAAATTGCGCTTTTGTAGGAAAAAATTTTCTATGTTTTTTTCGGCTTAGTGAATCAGCAATTTTTTTTTCAAAAAAAAAAAATTTTTTTTGAAAAATGAGAATTCGCTCTATCGAATTACATTTTTTCTCCAAAAAATTCAAAAAATTTTGTAAAAAAAAATCGAAAAAAGCCACCTGATATACCTTTTAATTCGATTTCTCCGCACGCAAAAAAAAGTGCAACGGTCCTTTTCGGATTCATTTAACTGGAACTAATTGATCTCTTTTTCTCCCAATAAGATGTTGCGAATCAAAAGAAAAAATGTGAAGAAGAATAAGAAGATGAACAAGAAAAAGAAAGAGAAAAGACAGTACAATAAATCAATTGGGCAGGCCCTGTTAGTATTCGAAGGGGTGGGAGGGTGGTACACAAAAAAACGGGAAATATAAAAAATGGGTTTCTTGGGGCAAACAGGTTTGGCGGGAAAATCTTTTTTTGAAAAAAATTTGAAAATTCAAAAAATATTTTCCAATAAAAATACACAAAATCCCCGGTTTAATCTGCTTTTTGGTGTTGAACAAAAAAACAGTAAACGTTCACATTTTGAATGATCACAGTTAATCCATCCACCCTCCAAAAAAAAACTAACCAGGTAACCTCTCTCTAGAGATGACAGGATAATAGAGGGGATACAGAAAGAGAAATGATGACTGCCCCTCCTGAGGAGGGAGGGAGGAGGGGATGGATGAGGACATGGAGGCGGGGTCGTCGTCGTTGGTGGTGGGGCCAAATACGCTCATATACTCTCCCCCAGACGATGTGTACAACAAAAACCCTCACGGTCAGGTAGAAGAAGAAGAAGAAGACGTGAAGAAATAAGAAGGAGGAGTGACTCGGAAAAGGACAAAAGTGTCTCACTCACTCTTCTACAGTCTCCTACTCCTCAAGGTTGTTTTGTTCTTCTGATGCCATTCCCATGGGAAAATGGAGATGATGATGATGAAGAGAGATAGGATATTCTGGATATCTTCAGGAGAAGATATATAGTACAGAACGGGATTCATAACATTCCATGTATACAGATAACAAATTGTTAGTCATTATTGCTGGGGGAGAATTGTGAAATTGAGGAATCTCCATATTTTATATTGCACTTCCGGTGTTACCAAGACGACGACCATGCAAAACCCCGGGGCTTGTAAGGGCAAACGCTGCCCTATATAATTTTCGGCCGCGTAGCTCAGTGGGTAACGCGCACGGACTCTACCAGACAGGTCGCGGGTTCGAACCCACTAGAGGGGATTTGTTTTTAACATTTTGTTTTTGAAATTTTGAGCTGTGCAACTCTCTTAGATGAGCATCTTAAAGCCATAAAGTGAGGGATAGTTGTCGATCTTGTCACCAATTACGGTATCTCAAAAGGATTCACACAATTACTTTTGGAAATATCTCACGACGATAGGACAACATTTGGACTATGAACCTCACAGTAGAAAAACTTTTTTCGTGGCGGGACCCAAAACTCCGAAAAAAAATGACACGTTACATATGAAATTCTGAGTTCCCCCCTCCCCCAACACCCACCAATTTCATATGAAAACCTTTCATTTCCGGCGACGAGGGTTGAACTTTAAAAGGACTTCTTCCCACTTTTTTGTTCCCTCTTTTGTGAGAGCATTGAACAAAAGTCAAGGTTTTGGAGCAATTTTCTTTTTTTTTTTCAAAAAAATTGAAAACGCCGTTCAATTAGAGTTTAAAAAAACGAGTTAGGGGGATTTCTGAATGGATGACGTTTTGTTTGCACAGCATCAGATCAACGGAAAGACAGATTAACATCATAGTGGGGCAGTCCGTGTCCCCTCGTTGGTGGGGGGATGGCAAGTCTAGGTCATCGAACGGTAATCCATTTTCCGGACAGAGGAACATAGACTTAGCGATTGGGAAATGGGCTCTGGACTTCGAAAAAGCAGAAAAATCATCGGAAACGTGAATTTCTAAAAAGAAAAAAGATTTTGCGTCTGGGTGGATTCGAATCCGCGACTTGTCTGACGGCATACAGGCGCGTTACTCACTGAGCCACTCGGACAGAAGGGAGAGATGACCCTACTTGTCTTTATAACCCTGCGACTTTCTGGTAATTTTTCAAAAATACACCGAGGGGTTCGAACCGGCGGCCTGTCCGGCGGCGTACAGGCGCGTTACTCACTGAGCCACGCGACCCGAAAACGAATATCCCTGCGTTTGCCTTCAAAAGCCGGGCGCTTTGATAAAATCAAGCGTTCCTCTCAGAAGAATTTCGGATGGGGCCAGTTTTTGATCTACCTAAACAATCTCGATCCTACCGTACTCTCCTCAATTACCGGTCACTCTTGAATACCACCACCGCCATTCAATTCTTCTTTCTATTCATAACAAGTGTGGTGATTGAGGTTGTTACAATAATAGGGGCGAAAAGAACTTGTTCACATTCAATTCGTTCCGTCTTCTTCCCCTTCTCCCTAGGTACACATTACGTGTGAGCGCAAATAATACAGGCGGGTCCGAACGATTTTCCCCTTCGGCGACGCACCTTGGCGCCCTTCTCACTCACTCTCTCGTTCTCTGCGTCTCTCTCCCCATACAGTTTTACTCTTGTATCGTTATGTGCGTGAATTGGTTATTCTCGAGTGTGTGGAAGAAGGAATCGGCACAAGAAACAAGAAAAGGCCGCCCGGTTTTTATGTGTCTATTTGTATGTGTGTATGTGTGTGTTTCTTTTGAACACACGCATAGGTAGGATGGATGGGGGATAGGGCAAGTTTGACGGGAGGAGGATGATTTGAGATTTAGATACATTATGTCGCCGACGACGGAAACAGGGGGGTGGAGACAGGCACTGTGTTCAGGATTCATGGAGAGACTGTACTTGACCTGGAATGAATATATACTTTTTTCTGTTAAGTGGAGTTGAAGAGTCAAGAAGGGAACTGAAGTTCAGAGGGGTCTGGAGAACTTCAAGAATCAATCAAAGTTCATCGGGAATTGGGGAATTCTGTAGCGAACCTAGATGTCTAGTGAATAGGTGGAAATGAGCTCTTGAACAAATACATGTCGGAAAACGTCATATAGGGAATCAGAGTTCAAGGCATGGAAAGTCTGATTGGCCAAAAAATCTGTAATTTAGACATACTGTATGTTCAGAGCAGCATATCTCGGGTGCCTTTGGAGTTATCAAAACATTGTCAACTAAAGAAATGTCAAGGAAAACATTTCAAGCAATTTACTAGTTGACAATTTTTTGATAGCTACAAGGATAACCGAGATACCTCTAAGGATACTGTAATGGGCGATCCTAACTATAGGATTAATGGTAAGTGTCCAGAGAACTCAAACTTGGGATTCTCACGGGAGACCTAGGCGAACAAATTTTGCTCGACTCGAGCAGACGTGACGGTTCATTACTGGATTTTAAAGGAGGACTAAAAGCCACGTGGCATGAATTCGGCAACAAAATTCTAATGTATGCCGACCTGACAGCGCTCTAGAATTCGGCTAGCCCCAAACCAAGCGGCCCATTTTCAGCGTTGCAAAATAATACAGTAAGAACTTTTTGGGTGCATGGCGAGACCCAACTGTCCGTTGCTAGGCAATATCTCGAGCCCTTCAAGAGCCAAGTCCCTTGGAGATCAGTTCCAACCAGTCTCCACTTTTTGAGAATTGAGTGCACCTCTACTACAGGTTTCTGATCGCGTCACCATCTTGCACTTTTGATAACCTTTCACTTCTCTCACCTACTGTCTCCGTCAGACACCTATTTGATGATAACAGCAAGAAAAAACCTTTCCCGCCCAAACCGTGTCAAAAAAATCCAGATAGTTTGGAGATGTTTGATCGTACGATCGACCACTCCCATTATTGGGAATCAAGATGGAAAAAGAGGGATTAGATGGGAGGAGAAAATGCAACAATTTATGCAAACTAGGCAGTCGGAAAGATGAGAAAATGTGAAAAAGTAATTTATACAGGTCGGGTTTAGGGAGGGACAAACAAAATAGTTAAA